TAACGAGATCTTCATTGATCCCAACAGCCATGTTGTCTGGGTTGAATTTGGCAGAGTCGATGAACCTTAAACATCTCAAAGTTTTCACCGATTCCCAACTACTTGTCAATCAGATAAACGGGACTTTTGAAGTCAAAGAACCTCGGTTGATACCGTACTTGTCTCTAACCAAGCAAAAATTATCTAAATTATCTGTTCAAGTGGAACACATTCTGCGAATTTTGAACGTCCAAGCTGATGCACTTTCGAGATTAGCCTCAAGCGTTGGAATGGAAAGCGTAGAGTATGTCCAAGTTGGTTAACAAGAACAACCGTCTACAACACCTCAGGAAGTCCCTATTGCAGATGTGGCCACACCTCCGAAAGAACTGACTTGGATGGATCCAATTATTCAGTACCTTGGAATCGGGGCCTTGTCGAAAAACCCTAAGAAGGCTCGGGCATTGCGTGTTCAAGCTTCCCGATTCACAATAGATGACGGAATCTTGTACAAGATAGAATATTCTGTTCCTCTGCTAAAATGTCTGAATGAGCAAGAGTCCCAGTATGTTCTTGAACAAATTCATGAAGGCATATGTGGAGCTCACCCCTGTGCACAAGCCTTAGCTTACTAGATTTCACGACAAGGATACTATTGGCCCACCGTGAAATCGGATGCTGAGGCTTGGGTTCGCAAGTGTCCGAAATGTCAAGTGTTTGCACTCAAGATGAATCAGTTCCTTGAGTTGCTCAAGTCGATTTACAGTCTGTGTCCCTTCGCAAAATGGGGGATCGACTTAATTGATCCATTGCCGACTGGCAAATGAGGAATTAAATTTGTCGTGGTTGCTGTAGATTATTTCATGAAGTGGGCGGAAGCCGAACCATTAACCACCATTACCGAACAGAAGATGGTAGACGTCATCTGAAAGTCTATTGTTTGTCGATTCGGTATATCGAATTCCATTGCCACCGACAACGGCAGACAGTTCGAAGGGAGAAAACTCGCAGCCTTTTGTGAAGAATATGGAATAAAACACTTCTACTCCTCACCGTATCATCCACAGTCTAATAGCAAAATAGAAGTTGTTAACAAGATTATCAAAAATGGTCTCAAAGTCCGACTTGATACTGCCAAAAGAGAATGGCCCAAAGAACTGCCTCACGTCCTATGGGCGTATTGTACGACGGTGCAAACATCAAATGGAGAAACACCATTCTCTTTGACCTATGGATCGAAAGCCGTCTTCTCGGTTGAACTCGGTGCTCCAACTTACCGAATTCAACACTACAATGAGAATTCCAACTCGGAAAACTTAAAGGCAAATCTTGATTTAGCAGAATTACGACCTCGTGCCGAGCTCAAGAATGCCACTTACAAACAAAGAAGTGAGAAGTATGTAACATGAAGTCTAAGCCACGTATATTCCGAGTTGGAGATATGGTACTCAAAAGAATCACTGGTGCGGACCCGGGGCCGCTCAAACCGAAGTGGGAATGATCCTTCAGAATTAGTCAGGAGCTACCCAATGGTTCATGCCGAATAGAATACCCTGATATAACTCCCCATCAGTACCCGTGGAATGTTGTGTTCCTAAAAAAGTATTACCAGTGATGTTCCAAAAATTATGTACTGCCTTCCTTTCGATAAAAAAAATCCGAGTAACAAAAAGAAAACTCAGTTCAGTGGATGCCCCGAATAAATCCAAGTCCCACAATGGTTTTGTGAGGCTGAAACTTTAGTCGATGCCTCAAATAAATCCAAGTCCCACGATGATTTGGTGAGGCTGAAACTTTAGTGGATGCCTCAAATAAATCCAAGTCCCACGATGATTTGGTGAGGCTCAAACTCGCCCATCTGCCAAATTCGCAAAAAAGATTTGGTAGGCCCAATTTATAGCTGAGCAACCTAAACTCGATAGGGCTGTTCTTTAATCGAACCCTGACGAAGTTCGGTTCCTATTCGACCACATCAAAAAAGGTGGTAAGTTT